ATACTTAGTTGTTCTTCAGACAACAAATATAGTTTTTAAGGAAATGTTTCTACAGACAAACGTTAATGAGTATGTTTTAGATTATGTTAATGATTAAGAATTCAAAGTTCTGTGAAACGATATGTTAATTTCTAAATCTGTGTTTGCATTGAACCTTTTTTAGACTTTGGACAACCTCACATGGATGGTTTAAATTTTTTTTAATTTGAACAAATGTCAAAGCTGTAGAGCAGTTTTATTTTGTTGATATATACACTGGGAACAGCTTATCCCTTTTCGTTAAGTTTATCAACCCAAATTGTTAGTTTAGCAGAGAAAAAGATTATGTAGCTAAATATTAATGCAGGGGTTCTCAACTATATCCCAATAGGGGCCAAAATTATTTATTAGATAAATTTAAAGAGCAGGGCAATAAGTGTACTACTGTATGGCGCGAAGCACCATCCGAGCACCGCAGGTGTGAGGTGGGGAAGGGTTTGTGAGGGGTGCCCCTTTCACAAATTAGAAATTTATTGAAAATATTAAGCCGCCAGATGCTCATACAGGGCATCTGGACCTAAGCAAGTTACCCTTGGGTTTGGTAATGCAAAAGTCAAAATGTTACATATCACACAATGGGTCATCGGTAATATATTTCTTTGCTGTTTCCTGCGATAGTTCTTCCGATTTGATTGATTAAATCGCTAAAATTTGTGGGGCAATATATAGACCTAGTCGGCAAAACAGAATGCATAGTCATTAAGGTTAGAAATCTAGGCCCAAGCCTAAGGGAAAATATTATTTTTGGCTTGTTCTTGCAGGCTGTATAACACGCACACAGGCCTCCAGTTGAGAACCCTTGTATTACCAGTATTTAAACCTGTGTTTATATATCAATTATTTGATTCAATTAGACCTAATTTGAGTAATCTCATTATGTGTACTTCTGGAAATGCCAATGTGAGCCACTGAACACTGTATTTTGCTTTGGATATTGGCGCTTTACAAAGATCTTATAATTACAAGATAGCGCTCTCTGCAATTCAACAGGTAACAAATAGAAGCATATATGTTCAGTAAAACAGAAGCATAAAATGTAAGTTTTTATGGAATTTTCACGCAGGTGCGATATTTTTAGTTAAGAATTTCTGATGTCAAAGTTCAAAAGTAATCAGTTTTGCAAGAGGGCGTTCTACAATGCGTTGTTACGGAATTTGCACGCAGAAATCACGGAGAACATGATCTTGTAATTATAAGATCTTTGGCGCTTTATCACTGTATGCTGCATGATTGATGCACATATAAACTAACTTATTTAAAATTATTCTTTTCTAGTCTTCTGTTTATGACCCCCGCTGCTTGTTCCATTTATCCGCAAACATGGTAAGTTTTCAAATCAATGTTGTTTTGATTTGCTATTTTTCTGCTGTCCGAAATCTCCTGCAAGTTGCAACATAGTAAAAATTTCCTATCAACTAACCCATCTTCCTCAAATTCGTATATTTTGTACTTCTCTATTTTCAATTGTCTTGTGATGGGTATCATCATTCACTGCAAAATATAATTAGTTGTGTTAATAAAACTCATTTAAACAGGATCTCCTAGAAAGGCCCAATTTCTGAAAAATAACAGACACAACATACATACCCCAAAGAGAGTAACAAAACCAGGCAAGACCAATGTCATTTGGATGTTGAGCTTCTCCATTTCTAATCGTTGGTTCAAACGGCTCACTCGCCAATGGTTCCGGTGGTGGAACAAGTCTTCTCGGATAAGGACTATAAACTGTAGGCCTAGGGTACGCATTTGGCACGTGTGCACTTTCCAGAACCCAGTACATCATTCGAGAAGAGTAGGGGGCTACCCTGGTGTACTGGTCCATTATTTCAGTCCCCTGTCATTTAACGGATATGCCATGTACGATAGAGATTAAGTTCACCGATTGGCATATCCTCGACACTCGTAAATAAAGAAATGAAATGAAACAAAAAAATCTTTGTAAATATTTCAATTTTACAATGTTATAAAACAAATGAATATATTATGAATAGAATTGTGGAAGCGATTTGTGCAATGATCGTATCACAGACTCTCAACGTTGAGGTGAGAGGCTTGAAACCCTCAATGTGCAAGTCGCTTGTGTCCGTAGGCAAGACACTTACATACATTGTACTTACATCAATTCAATATTATACTTCTTTTCTGAATTTATAGCAATTTTATTAAAATTATCTTCTTTTAAAATTTAGTGAGATGGAAGTGAGCAAGATTGAACCAGAGTTAGCTGAGTCAATTCATCAACGCTTTGGAGACAAAATTGATAAAGTTTACTTCAACAAAGGACTATGATTTAGAATATTGTTAATGCTTCTAAATTTATTGATTTAATGACTTATTTACACTAGACAAAATGTTATACTGGATACATAAGAAGAATTTAGCTAGGGTCCTCTGATTCATCGTATCTATCTGAATGCGCATCCATGTAAGGTTAGCATGCATCTATGTAATATCTGATTAAAACAAACATCAAAGGAACCTGCAACACTCCTGAGATGTGTCCAAGAGTCTTCCAGAAATCGGCACCTCCTCCTCCTCAATTTTCTTCCAGAAATTTACCAATCTCCCACCAATTCAGAATATTATACTTCAGGCAAAACTCCGGACACAACCCGGGATTTTGCAATACCTGGGCTAGAAACTCCCGAGTTGTGGTTGGTGTAAACGTCAAAAAATACTACACGGGTTGCCGAACATCCTGGGATCGATGTGCGGGATGCATTCAACATTGGACAACCCGCGTGCATTCCAAAGTCATCAGTGTAAACAGCACCGAATTTGATTCCGGAATTAGGACTTACCTGGCGCCTACCGCAGCCTTGGTCGGGTAGACCTAAACTTTGCTAACAATTTTTCAAATTAAACCCTCTGCGCTCCAGTATAGACTTGATATGAAAACTGCTGATTACATTAGCATAATTTAAAAACAATCTGCAGATACATTGCTTCAATATTTACAATAATTGCAGCTTCTTGACGACGAGGAACTATAGCTAAGTGATGATCGCCGTTGCAACAAAAATTGAGGGCAGTATTTGAACCCGAGTTCGTTGCCAGTGAAAAATGGGAGCAACTCGGGATCAACCCAGACTTTTTGGTTCGATGTAATAATAATATTCATTGTTCTTTAAGAATATACACTCTCTGTGTTAGAATCAGGGTGTTGTAATAATAAACAGAATCAGTACTTGTTACTCAAGCACCTCAAGTTACTCTTTAAAGATGCTACTCTATTTTATAATGCATGGACATGTTATTTGTGTCAAAGAACACATAAAACAGTGAAAAAATTGTTTAACGGGTTCGTAGGAAGATTTGAATGACAACATTAGCATGGATCCATCCCAAGGAAGATCGTCCGGCATGGATGGGTTCATGGTAATGCTCATAAATTAATATAGTGTGATAACTAGTATTAACGAAAAATGAATTAGTATTACAGAAGTTAATGTAATATTTTAAGTATAAGTTATCATGGGAATTATGAAACTTTTAAATTTTAATACATCAAATACATTTAATAAAAAAATTCAGGGATTTATAAAATTACTTGACTGTATTTTGATTTATGAAAACAAAGTGTATTGTATCTAATAAGAGATTTCAGCAGGGAGTTATTATTAAATATAATGAACTCCCTGATTGAAGTTTTTTACATTAAATGTTTAATAGGTAAGTGTTAATAATTACTGTAATTGCATCAGTGATAATTCTTAGGAAGTGGAAAACTGTGTATTATTGATTCAGTATAATGATCAGGAAAATAATAGCAGGCGCTCTGAAAGAATATTAATATTTGATACTTTATAAGGTAGTTTTGGGTGGTTTGCTCTTGTGCTTATATGCTGTTTAGTGCATTGTAATAATATACATATCAAAAGACCAACTGAACTGTTTAATGCTCTCTATAATGTGTTCTGAATATTTGTAAGCTGCGTGCTTGCTGCTGTGTGCAGTGGCGGCTCTAGGACATATTTTCTCGAGGCTAAGGTGTTACAGTGCCATCCGTGGCCCGTATGCCCTAGTGGAAGGATGGGGTGCCCTTCCAGGATAAATAAATAGGGACCTCTGAGGTTCATTTCGGCTTGGAGTAGGCCTAATTTTCTTTTTTTTTTTTTGTCTGACTGCACAACGAGCTCTGGTGGAGGTGAGGGGGCTGACCTGTCTGATGAGGCTTAATCCCCAGCCACCCCCCCCCCGCAACTGGCACTGCCATTGGTCCAGTGCTTGAATGTTGATCTATACTTGAATTTATATACATCTATGTGTAAATATATATATTTGATATATGTATGAAGAACAGTGGCGTAACGCCTATTCGCTCTCATGCGGCGGTTCACAGAGCACCCGACCCCTAGGGGCCCCGAAGGGGCCTTACCCATAGGTTTCTTGATCTAGCACCCTGACCAAAAAGGACTTTGTTGATACATAACACCATAATATGTCAAATCGATGTAGGGCGTAAATCATATATCCAGCAGCGGATTAAAGGGAGGGGCCCAGCCCGGGACCCCTCCAAATTTGTCAAAAAATATAAAAATAGAGATAAAAAGAAAATTATATTCACATTTTAGGTCTGTGAGTGCATATTTCCGGCCATCTAGACATGCCATAATCATACATTTTCTTATCTCAGCCCCAACAGGGCGACAGCAGTGTGTCTCTGAAATCGACTGTAGACATATATATTTTATCCAGTAGCGGAATAAAGAGGGGAGGGGGAGAGGCTGGCTGCTGGCCCAGTGGGCCACTAAATTCGTCAAAATATTTTTTTAATAAAAGTAAAAAGAAAATTATATTCAAAATTTTATGTCTGGGACTGCCATTTTCGGCCATCTAGAGGTGCCATAACCATAAATTTTCTTCCCTCAGCCCCAACCACGGTGGGGCTGAGGTGGTATCTCAGGCCCGTAGTCAGGATTTTCGATGGGGAGTTGCGTTTTGCAACTGAAGTGGACCTTACAATGGGCGACTGCCTCGGGATCCCCGCGAGGGTGGGGCGAATCTGACAAATTAGCATTTTGAGGGCCTTTTTTAATGGATTTCTAAATACCATAATTTGTAATATCCTATTTAAATTTTCCTTCATTTGAGTATTGTCTAGGGACCTACAGTAAAGCAGGAGAAATAGAGGGTGGGGTGAAGGGAGAAACTTGCACAGACAGATGGTAAATACCACCTCGGCCCCATCATGGTTTGGGCTGAGGTAAGAACATTTATGATTATGGCACCTCAAAATGGCCGGAAATGGCACTCTCAGACAAACTTTAATTATGATTTTTCTTTTTCCTCCATTTCTTTTATAATTTTAGGGGGCTCTTCCCCTTTGTATCCACCACTGTGAAATTATAATTTTTCATGTCCTTTACGTCTGTAGGCCTACAATCACTGGAGCTGACAATTTCCAACAGATTTCGTAGCACATTATTAAAAATCAACGGGTAGAAGAGTGGGCAAAAAATGTAATGCATACTATAGCATTTCGCGATAATTAGGAACAATTTTAGTGAAATAATAGGTTTTAAAAAGTAGACTTTTTGAAATTTGGTGGTCCAGGGGCAAAGGCCTGGAGGGGGTTTGTGAGAAAAGCCAACAAAGTAGCATTTTGAGGGTCTTACATAATAGATTTCAACACATAATTCATGAATATTTCATTTAAATTTCCATTTGATGTTTTTGGGACCTGAAAAAGTAACGTTACTGTCCTGTATATCTGCCGGCCTATAGATAACATTCTTCATATTATATAGATCAATCTGCAATCACCGGAGACGATCAATTTCTAACGAATTTCATACCACATTATTAAAAATCAATGGTTAGATAAGCTGGTAAATATATAATGCAATGCATGCTATAGCATTTTGTGATAATTAGGAACGATTTTGTGAAATCATAGGTTTTAAAAGTGGACCTTTTGGAATTTACGCACCCTCTGTTTATACACATCTAGATGTGTATAAGAGACAGGTTATCTGTAGGTGGTATTTATATTTATTTATTTATTTATTCATTTGTCTTTTCTACATATTCTATATATTCTAAATATGTATTTAATTTATTTAAAAAGGGACCCAGTGCTGAAAGCTTTGCTTGTCGTGGTTTTTCATTTTCCACAAATTGTAAATAATTTGTTATGAAAAAAGGGAAATGTGGAATAAATTTATGCTTGATTGACTATCCAACTGTGAAAGTCCCTCCCTGTCCCCCTTTATTTCAAATAGGCCTACCTGACCCGCCAATGATATTATATCGTTTATTTGTCGTTAAAAACATTTAGAATGCAAAAATGATTCAAAAACGAGCACATCTAAAATCTAACGATGGAATTGGCGAACGCCGGGACCCAAAAAGGGCCTCCCAGTTTCAGTAAAGCCACAGGGCCCCGGCCCCATCGTTACTGATGAAGAAGACAAATCCACGTGTGATTTGAAAACTTTATTGACTGCCATCGATTTAAAGATGTATGCATACGCAATTCAGCACAATGACACTCAAAATATGTGTTATTCTTTTACCTTTATTAGTGTAGGCCCAGCCTGTGTCAACATGAACATATCTAATTTGTGTATTTGTTCTATGTTTTTTAAACAAATATAACATGATTGATTGATTGATAATAATGCCAGAAATGGAGGTAAGCGGAAGCACCATAAAAACCCTCCGGCGTAATTTCCGATTGAGAAAGAGTCACCTTTCTAGTTATTATTAGCGGTAAGTTTAATAATTTGTGTTGCTTTTTGTTTCATTATTGCCAGGCTAGTCAGGGTAGACTACGCAGTTACGCTAGTGTAGGGCCAGTAAACAAAGGGTCGACGCACGACGGCCCCAGTTAGGAAGATGATTCAATAACATACATTTTCACATTGTATTTCAGTAAAGCTCAGATTGACATTTTCAGCATTTAATTTTATTAATTAGACCAATAATATCTTATACAGTAATATTTTTTTGGCAAATCAAAAATATAATGAGACAGATTTGTTTTTTCACTCAAATAGAATTCTTCATCTTTCCTGTTTACAGTTTGACTGTATATA